AATAACAGCGTTGGGGCTTCCGCCACGGCACATAATTCGATTGCATCACCGACAGAACGGCCAGCCAATGTCGGTACTGGTTCCACCTGTTCCTCATCCCTCACTTCTACGACCTCCACCACCTCCTCGAACAGCGCAACTTATGCTGTAGCGGAGGTCCCTCCAGCGCCTATCAGGTCCACGTCTGATCCTGCTTGCGTCCCTCTCACTTCTAAGGAGGCAGACGCACCAAGTCAACGAGCTTCGGGTCGGGTGAGTATCCTGGGCAGCCTGTCCATTGGTTTAAGAGGTCTCAAAATTGCATAATGTCGTTGGTTTAATGCCAATGGTGCAAAATTAATCATGTACCCATACAGAGGTGGAATAGCTTGGAATAGCTGATGAATATTACCAGCAGAAATAAGAGATATCGGAATGACTATTTCTGGCCTACATAATCCAACCATATCCAATCCGAGGTGTTGTACCACCCGAGGCTCGAACCTGCGGCCTGTTATGAGTCTGACAACGACAAGGGAGACTGTAATGGCCATTCCTGGCTTATTAGCTGGTGGTGTAACACCTGAAATTGAGTATGGCTGGATGATGATGGCAAATGAACCAGAAATTGCCATTCCAGTCTTCCATGTCATTGTATCTAATTGTGCTCTCCGTACATTACTAGCCACTGTACGGCTACTAGTTGGACTTCAGATTGAACACCAAGGTACGGCGGGACAAAAATTTCCTTTCACGTGATCGGTGGTTGCTCCTCTAATATCGTCTACTTTGCAGTCAGCTTTTCACAGTTCACTTGATTTGACCCGTTCTCTTTAGATTAATCCCGATTGATCCGTTTCTGCGTTAGTTTGTTTCGGCAACGGTTTCCTAAGTGCTATATTCTATTTGGCAGTGTGAGGTAAGAGAAGAACTATAATTGATGCTTATTGTGTGGGTCGGCGGGGGGTATAATGGTTCACGAAAATAATCTGTGTGATTGCCCCAACATTTCAAAAGCTGTCGAGAAAACACTTGGACGGTGCAATACTAATTGCCGTTGGTGGATTGACGTTCACCGACCGTTTACGGAACTCACTCTCCTCTCTTGGCCGTAGACATACAAACACGAAATTTACTAAACCCCTTTATTCAGCCATACATAGTTTGTGCGACAGAAAGCTCAACTGCCTTCTCTTAAACCACGTCAGCAAGCGGCAACCTGACGTAATAGGTTTTAACGAGTCTGTTATGCGGGCTTAGTGTTTTCGAAAGGTCAATGTTGATGGATTAACTTGGTCATTTGCGTAACCACGTTCACTCTGCCCCTTGTTTATTGATACACGAACCAAATTTGTTGTATAAAATGATGACTGCGACAGTTCGAGCGTGGAGCGCGACGTCGTCCACTAAGTGCCCTACGGAGTGAGCACAGCATCTCTAAATCGCGCGTGAATGATTTCGTTTATATTTGGAAAGACTTGCGATTCACCTACTCCACTCACCTTCCTCACCCATAGAATGACAGTCACAAAACGATCGGAATTGGGCTCAGAGGAAGTGGCTGACAAAGCTTGACAGTCCATCTACGCGTACCACATACAAACTGATCCACGCACATCGGACCAGGTTTTTTGCAGAAACAGGAAGAAGTCGGCCCAGATCTCATACACCAGGTTTCTTTAAAGGCAGTTTAGATCTAACCTCAGTGAGAGTGCCAAGTAGGCCACATTGACGAGAAGTAATTACAGTCTTACACACAGTCCCCGGAACGGCCGATTTAATCCGTCGGTAGCCAACATTTAAAGCCACGACTTTTAGTCGTTGGAGTTGGGTATGGCTGACGGCGTGAGGGCCCACATTAGATTTGCTATTTCATAAAATGTCAACCGAAATTCTGAAATATATATTCGATTCGAAAAAATACTTCAATACGCTTGTAATATTAATGATCCTGCAGCCTTATCCCAAGATATTTCATTAGGGTCAGGATGCCAGCTTTTGAACAAGTTGCTTTTCCGCCGCCTGCAAAAATATTTAGTAAAAAATATGAACACATCACTAGTATGGATTTTTGGTTTTTTGACTTTCGATGCTCCCAATAATGCATATATATTTGCTTAGAGCAAATGCATCAAGATATTCCTTCTTTTACTCATTTGGTTACAACTTATTTCTTCAAATTTTATATTTGGAGAATATCTGTCGGGTTTGAACTGCTTCTAACTAAGAGATGTTTAGGACCATGAAACATTCCTTTATAAAGCATCGTTTGTGTCCATTTATTACTGTTGCTTATAAAGCATACAACATGGTTCACATCCATTGCAAGATGTTGTGAGCGCTATGTAAGGTTTTGTCCCATAGAGTAGAGAAATGTGTCATTTTCCCTTGACGAAATGTATACAGTATGTTCTTTTAAGAGCCTAATTATAGATCTCACGGCAGGTTGGATTCAAAACTCCTCGGTAATTTGAGCATTTTTTTCCCGCAAGATACCCTTTCTTCGCATATAAAATCTGAAAGAAAGCGTTATCTGCTACTAAATAAGCACACGGAAGAATATTTTTGTGCATTTGTTTTTCTATAGAATATGCTTGCCTTTACAGGACTGAAACGTCTTGGGATTAGGCTGCATGATAATTTATATTGCAACCCTACTCAATTTATCTTTTCGACACGTAAACACATTTCACAATTTAGGTTAACATTTCCTGAAATAGCAATTTTTCTCTACGTCTACGGTGTACCACACACATATTTGGTAGCAATCATGAGCACAGCCCACTTACCGGTTGCCGTTAACTAATTCGACTCCGTTTTAATCCAGCACATCTACAGCGCAGTCCTTGCATGTAGACCAACCGTCTGTACGGTGACGTAGAAGACGCACCCTTGGTGAATATCTCAGGCTATACTGAACGAAGGTGACGCCAA